AACAGTATTGAATTCATGTTTATATTTTTAAAACATCATTTTCCGTTACAGTTTAATTGTATATCAAAACATATTTTGCTATTTTTAATGAACCTCATTTGTCTAATATATTTAGTGAAGAAATCATTTTAATATGTCATACCGTTTTCCTGTTATTTGATTTTAAATCATAAGAATATAAAACGATCTAGTGCGTTTATCCAAACAGTTAGAAAGCTAATATTTCATAATTTGTCATTAAATGTATCATATATCAATATGATAATAACTACAATTCATTCCGTGAATGTAAAATTTGGACCTGGACATGGTGTTTAATATTTATTTAGATCTCAAAAGGTTTTCATATATTATAATTATTATTGATAAAAAATATCCACAAAATAAAACTAAAAAATGTCAATTAATTTGATCGAGTTATAATTTTCAATATTAGTATTAGGATCCAGTCCAGTAAAATTAATTAGACTATTCCTGTACCAGTCCTTATTGTACATAAAATCAAAAATGATATCATGATGATAATTTAATCCAGCTTCCACTATACGCATGTACCTAGTGTAATTGAAACATAAATATGTTGAAATATGTTGATCATGTTAAATCGTGATATATATAAAATTAATTAACTCTTACATTGTAATAAGGATCTTGGTACATTTGTGCCCTTTTCTCACAACATAATATCTATATTCTAAAAAATATTTGTTGTGACTAGCGATAAATAAATGTTTGAAATATTTATATAAATTGATCATGTATTTAATATCGACATCATCTAAAATAAACACAATTTCTTTTTTAATCATAGCTTTAAATAAATCAATATTATAAAAATTAATTAATTTTCCATTGTTAAATCGTTTATGCAATGATTTATGTTTGTCCTCGATAGTTTTAAGCATTTTTCTATAATAGTCATCAATTTTATGATATTGAATGCCGTAGAAAGTATCCAAATTGCATAATGCAAGCAGTTTATTGTTGTTAGCTATGTCCTCTAATGTATTAACTATTGGTATGGTTTTAAAGTTAAAATACGTGTTGAGTAGACATCCGGCAAATGATTGGGTTATGACTAATGCGCTTAATATCCAGATATAGACTACTATTTAATTAGACATTGAAATATGGGCTGAGATTTTGCTCAATACTTTCGACGATTGGTTTATTAAATGTCTCAACACTTGACACAATATATTAATTAAATTATTTTCACTGCTTATTTTGTTAATTATAGCTAATACTAATATTGTGAATGATATAAGGTTTATCCAAATCTATTTTAAAGATATTTAAATAGTAAGATTAACTGATTGAAAATATTTAGCTTTAAACTATTACCTGAGTATCAAAAAGTTTGACGAAATTAAAATATGTGTCATATTTGATAGTCCTTATCCCAGTGATTATTTGCAACAGATGATATGAAAACACGGGTACACCAGTATAATTAAGGTAGAACATATTTTGAACATTGGGATCAAATAGTGTTAAGGCCTAATATATAAAAATAATGATTAAAATTAATAGTATTAATTGTGAAATAGGGAGAACATTTCATATTTAAGTATATATTTTTGATAAAAACCTTGTAAATAGTGCACAAATACTAAAGTATTGTAATTTATATATACATTCCACATTATTGTTAAATACACATTATGTTATAAATTATCATAAATGATATAACATACTTTAAATATTGCAGCTTGAGGTGATTTAATGACTACAACAAGGTGTAAATTACAAGTAAGATATTTCATAATTGTTATTGCTAATCCAAATGCTAAGTATGGTTTCTATTAGGAATAGAGTTAAAAATTAATAAAATTATAGGGAAAATTTTTATTCTATGTTAATTTTAATTTAATTTAATTTTGCTTACTGGATCATATAGTATGACAACATCATCAGCACGATAATGGCTATAATTGCAATGATATACAAAATTATTTCGAATGTTTATTAACGGTGCTACACGGTAAAAGTAGCCATATACATTATTTATATTAACGTAAAATAATTGATTCATTTTAGTCATTATATACAATGTACAATGTATCAATATATAAAACTATTATGTAACAATTGTTATGTATTATAAAGTAATGTTGAAAATAGATGTAAATATTACTGATTAACACACTTATTAAAATATAGAAGATTTTATGAATTTTGTGATATAATAATTATTTGATCTAATCATATTAGAATATAATATCATTATAAAAATATTGTTTTGATAAATAAAGCAAATTAATTTGCTAATTATCTATAATAATAGGTATTATCATAATATACATTCATTCATAATCTATACAAAACATTGTACTTAATTAATTTACTGGTATACGAATCAAGTTATTACTAAATAACTAATAATAATTAGTAAATGCTATAATTATATATTTTACTAATGAGATTACCACATTAGATATAATGAAAATATATTACTAATTAAGGTATCGTTACAAAATAATTTATTTAAATAGGGGGATTAATTTTTAACAAAAAATTTATAAATAAATAGTATAAATATTATGTAAAATTATAAATAGAATTCTATTGTTTATTATTTTATTAATTTATAAATTAATGAAATAAATAATATTTCAAGTTATTTAACTAGGAATTTAATAAAATAATTGGAATCACATTAGTTGTCGACAATATCAAGTTAAAATGTATACCATTTATATGGTGGAATGCTGCTAGTTCAATTATTAACCAAATTGTAGCTAGATAACTCTGATAACTAAATTCCTTGAGAATGTAGAAAAATCCCTAAAAATTGAGATTTCCTTGAGTACTAATTTTTCAATGCAAACTGTATAATTACATAACACAATCATTGCATTCATGGTAACACATATTAAATTATATATTATAAATGCAATGATTATGTTATGCTTTTTACAGTTCAAATTAGAAATACATTATATCTATTACTAATGTTATAGTGTATTTATTAGTAAGTGAGATATAGAGCCCATACATGTTAAAAGTTATGAATTCACCACGATATAACGTGTATTTTAAGTTTCATATTTATACGTTTTTTGTATTATCTAGGATTAAAAAGATTATAAGTTTTATAAACAATTGACACAGAAACATTAATATCTTATCAATTAATATACTATTACTATATAAATGTTATTAATTTATTAATTTAAGTTTAATAAATATTACTTAATTAAAAATACAGTAAGGTGAATAAAATAATTGAAGTAACATTTGTAAAATATTATTAAACAATTTTATCCTCATACACATTTAATAAACTTATGTTATTAATAAAATGTAAAATGTTATGTTAAAATTATATATTTTTGAAAAGACTTAGCTCTTAATAACATTGTGATAATATTTATCATTTTATTAAATGTTGATAAATTTTATCATTTAATATTATAAATGATCAAATAATATACTCTTTTATAAAAAATAATTCTAAATATTGTTATAAAAAATTATAAATAAAACAATTTATTGTTTATTATTTTACTAATTGATGGGATTATGATAACTTAACATTATTATTTTATTTTTAGTATTAATTATTTGATTTTAAATTATTAATATTTTAAGTTATAGCTATAACTATGAGCTTAATAAAATAATAGGAATCACATTAGTTGTTAAAAGTATCAAGTCCAAATGTCTACCATCGATAGCATGGAGTGCCATTAACGCTATTATAAACCACATTGTAGTCGAGTAGAGTAAACTTGAAATAATCCGCTTTTTAGTAATATTATCCAGAACTAACAGGATTATCAGTTTTATGACTAGCTCACAAAAATACATGAGTAAATAAAGTGTAACTATTGTTTTTATAAATTGTACAATAAAGGTAGAATTGTTTTGAAAAATAACAGTTATTAAAAATTATTTAACAGTTGTAATACACTGAAACAGATGTTTAGTAATAGTGGTAGTTAAGTATATTAACTTTTTATTAACATTTTAGAATTATATTATTATTTTAGCGGTATATATACATTTATGAAATGTGAAATCATCATATTAAAATTTGTTGTTTAATGTCATAATTATATTTTTATAATTAATAAATTAACTTAGTTTACTTTAAATTGTTTTACTTATTTTATTTTTTTAATATGGTTATCATTTTAACTTTAATATAAATAACATAACAAAAACCTGTTATTTTTTAAATTAAATAATTTTAATAACAAAATGTTATATATTAATTAAATAAATCTTAGAAATTGTTAGGTTAATTTTTAAATTTTTCTTAAGATATAACTTATGTACTTAATTATAAAATAATCAATCCTAGTTTATAATTGAGTAATAAATTTTAGCTTAAATTATAATAAACAATTATTATCTTACTTTATTAATTATTAAGTTTACTTTCATCCGTAACACATAAATAATAAACAAGTTTTATTAATATAGACATCTGTAAAGAATATTTGAGATAAAGTACATTTTACCTGGTGTGAAAATATACACAAGTACAAGCATACCAAACAGTTAAAAAGCATTTGAGAGCTTATAAATCCTGATAAATCAAGTAATTAAAATCGACACATATTTATATAATACTAGTATACTAGTATTACTAGTACTAGTATACTATTATTAGATAAAACGACACTGATTGTGCCCCACATTGCAACATTCCCATACAGATTGTTGAAAAAGTTTTGTATAAAATGTAATTGCAAAAGGTACATTAAAACAGTTTGTTATGAATCGGACTAAAATGAGTTTTGATTTTATTTTTAGTTTATTTGTCTGTATATCAGTTACATTTGGTAACAAGCATTTAAAAATATTACTAAATTACTGGTAAATAATCTTGTTCACATTTTCAATTATATAGTTGTAATTGACTGCAGACATGAATGCGCTGGTCGTAAGGGAAAGGACACCGTATATTGCGTTTGCAATGCAACATACTGCGATGACCTAGATCCTATTACCAAACAACCGGCTGGCAATGTCCTGTCTTATAGGAGCAGTCAAAGTGGGGACAGATTTAAAGAATCGCAACTAAAGTTTACCAAACAAAGTGACCATGATAATGCTGATCGTATCACACTGACCCTGGACAAAAGCAAAAAGTTCCAGAAAATATTTGGTATAGGTGCCGCGTTTACCGATGCAGCTGCTATTAATATTGGTAGTTTGCCCAAGGACATGTCCGATAGAGTTATCAAGGACTATTTCTCAGCATCTGGTATTGGGTTCAGTATGGCTCGCATACCTATAGCCGGATGCGATTTCTCAACTCATGAGTACACATACGATGATACAAAGGATGACTATTCCCTTGCACATTTTACTATGCCTGATGAGGAAATTAAATATAAGGTAAGTTTTAAAATTATTATCAAAATTAAATGAAAAAACCTAAAAAACCTGTTGATTTATTTAATTTGTACATCTAAAAATAGTAACGTTACTTCATTAATAACACATACAGTTGCACACAGTATTTAATATTACTTTATATTTAGTTTATTAGTTATATTTAGTTATATTGATTACTTTTAAAATTTATTTGTATTCTGTTGAAATATATAGATCCCGCAAATTAACCTAGCTAAACAGGTGGCTCAACATGGTCTTAAACTTTATGGAAGTCCCTGGAATACACCGCATTGGCTCAATGACAAACAGTTATTGAAAACTCAACCAGACAAACAATACGAAACATGGGCTAATTACTTTGTCAAGTAAATATATATAGTAATCAAATAATAATAAATAATTAATTATATAATTATATATAAAACATAGATTCCTGGATGAGTACAAAAAGCATGGCATTGAGTTATGGGGACTGACCATGCAAAATGAGCCAATGTCATTTAGTTCAATGAATTTTGTAAACGCTTCCATTGAACGTGATTTTGTGAAAAAACACCTTGGTCCTGCATTGACAAAGGCTGGATATACAAAAGACAAAATGAACTTGATGGTCTACGATGATGGCAGTACTGACAACCCTATGATTCAATACGTGGACACCTGTCTCAGTGACAAGGATGCAGCTAAATATGTCACTGGTAACTCACTTTTAAATCATATTGTATTTATGGACAACATTTATTCATATTACAGGAATTGCGTTCCACTGTTACCTGGCTAATAGGTACGCGGCAGTTGACGAGCTGCACAAGAAATACCCTGATATTTTTACAATGATGACTGAATGTTGTCAAAACTTTCGCTTAAATACCAACCCCTTCACACCGTCCACTCTGGGCGACTGGGATCAGGCCAGGGATTATACGGAACAAATTATTGATGTATGTGGCTCAGTTTATCAATATTGATAATATATTGATTATAAAGGACATTATTTAAATAATAGAGTTATCAAGAATAATAATTTACGACAAGATTGTAAGAATTATTAAAAATAATGTATTTACTATTCACAGACTTTTCGTCATTGGGTGAGTGGTTGGGTGGAGTGGAATTTGGCCCTGGACATATATGGTCACCCTAATAAGGATTTGAAAGCAGGGGACGCACCCCTGCTCATTGATGCTAAGAACAAGGAATATCTCAAAAATCCCAACTTTTATGCCATTGGACATTTTAGCAAGTTTATAGCACCCGATTCAGTTAGGGTTGAGTTGACTGAAAGCAAGTCTCCGCCATATTTCAAGTCAATTGCCTTTGAAAGGCCCGATAATTCAATAGTGGTTGTGGTGTCTAATATGGGCACCACTGAGTATGACATAACTATTACTGACCCAGCTCATGGCAAGATTGATACACATGTACCTGCCCATTCACTTCAGACATATATTTATTGGAATTAAATTTGATAATTAAAAAATAAAAATAGTTTTCAAACAATATTATCTATTATTTTTAAGTTTATGCGGATTTTTGGTTCAGACTTCTTTGCAAACAATAAAATAAAATCTTTATTTAATGTTATTTTTGGAAAAGGGTTTAGCTTTTTAATTGTTGTCGGTTATAAAAATAATGTAATTTTGTAAATTTCTATAGAAATTAAACTCTATTCAATTTAATTAAAAGTGGTCACTGGTCATAAATAAATAAAGTCACATTTTAATTGTATTTGTTGCTCTTAAGCAAAATCTATTTCCTGTTTTAACATAATAAGCTATATTATAACTTAGTTTTCAATTACTTGAAATGAATGTATTCTGTAAAAATAAGATTGCAACCATAATTAAATATTAATCAAAATGATAAATCCTGCAAATGACATTTAATTTCACAGGAATTTTATGCGAAATATTTTCTATACAATCTAATGTGCAATTAATTTCAAGAGAAACTCACAAATCTCTTATAAAATTGGCATGGTGATAGTTAATACCAAGTAGGAACTTAATATAAATGTCCCTGGACCTTAATTTGATAGGGTTGGCCGTAATGGCCAGTTATAAATGGGCCGAAGCTTACGGATTGCATCAAAAAATTATTGAAAGAATGTATAAATAAATTAAAATAAAAGTAAAGTTTTATTCATTTTATAACATTTTAAACATTATTCACAAAATGTTTTATAAATGTTTTTCAATTAATAATTTACTAATTTGTTAAAAATTAACAGTAAATGTAAAATTTGAAATTCAAATGTTTATTTGTTTTTATAAAAATCTAAAAACAGGATAACTGATATGCATTTTAAATGTTATAAATATTTTCAAATGAGATTCATTTTCAATTCATATTCACAATTAATTTATACACATTATTCAGTCTTAAATTATAAAAGAGATACAATATTTATAGATTATTAAATGAAAAAAATTTATCAAACATTTTGTAAATAACGTTTAAAATGTTATAAAATGAATAATTCTTAACTTTTTCACTCAATTTTTTGCATACATTTAATAAATTATTTTTGATGCAATTCTTAAGCTTTCGGTCCATTTATAAATGGCCATTACGGTCAACCCTATCAAATTAAGTCCCTGGGACATATATATTATGTTTCTAATTGGTACTAACTATCATCATGCAATTTTAAAAGAGATTTATGAGTTTCACTTGAAATTAATTGCACGTAAGGTTAAACAAATAAAGATTTTTATCCTATGTTTTGTATAACATACGTAAATGTTTAAATTATACAGGATTTAAATCATATCCTTTTGATCATTTAATAGAATAAACAATTAGAGTATTACGGACATTGATCCAGGTGTGAAAATGAACACAGGTGCTTGTTTATGAAATGTACTATAAAATATTAGGTACATTGCAATTACTGATAATTTAATAGTAAAGATATAAATAAGTATGTTTATATTTTCACTAGGTTTTAACAAGAATAAAATTATAAATTAAGTTCCAAATTAATTATAAAATATTTCTACTAAAATGCTTCAATATGTCTATTAAATTAATGAAAAAGATTTAACAACTATGTAGTAAATAGTATAATGCAACATATAACTATTTTAAATTTCGATTTAATTATAAATAATTAAAATAAATTTAGGAGCAACTTAGGAGCAAATACAGCAAATTTAGGAGTACTGTAAGTGTAATCTGATTAGGACTAAAATGTACTTAATTGTGCAAACACATTATAGATTCTCATACAATATTTTTGAACAATTTACTTTTGACACCTATATAACTAAACTGAAATATTACATTTAGCAGTTTATAAATTATTTAATCTAGAATTTCATATACAATGAATTTTAATTGTATTTTCTGTCTATTTTTCTTTTTATTATTTACGTTTGGTTAGTAAATTAAAAATGAAATTATGTTATATCTTAATGAAATTTAACCATGTTTATATATTTCCAAAACTCAATAGTGGTCATCGACTGCAAACATGAATGCGCCAGTCGTAAGGGAAAGGACAGCGTATACTGCGTTTGCAACGCAACCTATTGCGATGACCTAGATCCTATTACCAAACAACCCGCTGGTAATATTTTGTCCTATCAGACGAGTCAAAGTGGGGACCGATTCAAAGAATCACAGTTAAAGTTTACCAAACAAATTGACCATGATAACGCTGATCGGGTGGTATTGACCCTGGACAAAAGCAAA